AACATTTCATGAGTTTGGACTTTGTGTTTGGCCTGCCAAAAGATTTGACGGGCAACACGGGTGTCGTGGTATTCGTCGACCGGTTGAGCAAGATGGCTGGCTCATTTGGCGGTGGTTCCAGACACCATCGACGGAGTCGGTACAGCAACGCTGTTTGTAGATTGTGCTTTTCGACAACACGGACTCCCAGAGTCGATTGTCTCTAATAGAAACCCCCGTTTCACGAGAAAATTTTGGTCGACTATCTTTAAGGTGCTCGGCACCAAGTTAGATATGTCGACGGTGGATCATCCGCAGACCGATGGTCAAACCAAAAGGGTGAATCGCGTCATCGAAGATGTTCTTCGCAGCGTTTGCGCTGAGACGCCGGGGCGCTGGAGCGCTATGTTGCCACTCGTAGAGTTTGCACTGAACAATGCAGTGCATGCGTCTACCAGCTACACGCCGTTCTACGGGCTGATTCACCCTCGCGTCCCGCTGACGCCGCCATCCCATGGCTCAGGGCTTGATAAGGGGGAATAGCCGAGCGGCTAGCTGATGTCAGCCCCCTCACCATCTGTAAAGAAGTCGATGACTTCCTGTCTACCAGACTGAGTGTCCTACGACACGTTCGCGATGCGATGGCTGAGAGCCAAGACCTGAAGAAACAATATGCAGATGAAAAAGAAAGAGGCAAAATGGAAAGCTTTAAGATCGAAGACCTGATTTTTATTGAATTAAAAAAACCTGCCTACACATGCAGCCTCTGCTCTCTTCAGGACGAAGCTTTGTCCGCGGTTTATCGGACCGTTCAAGGTTGTGGCAAACGGGGTCTGGCGTACACGCTGAACCTCCCGAAACGAATGCGCGCCCACCCAGTGGTTTACGTAGGCTTGCTCAAGCCATACCGGGATCCGGCGCAAGTGAACGCGGAAGCGTTGGCGCCGGAGCGGATTCCACGGTCCCGCGGCCACCCAGAAATTAAACCAGCAACTGGTTCTGAGCACGGAGTGCAATACCCTCTATTCTAAATGGGGCCAAGCACTCCACCGTTGCCTGCAGCTATGAATTCGCCTGCTCCACGGCTAGGAGTCGCTCCGACAGAGCGCGGTAGACTCAAGGCAAGGCAACCGGCGCACGACGTGCTTTAAATTCTCAAGAGCGTCCGCACAGCAATATGCTATTTCAGCATGACGCTCAGCGGAGCTCCGATTACGATGGACCTTGTTCTCAAGGGCTCAAAGAGCATCACGAGTCACCGGACGGCGGTCGACCCGGTCGTCACCG